AAGAGCCTTCATATCTTTGAGGAAACCGTTATAGAGATATACAATAATAATAATAATAATAATAATCCTTGCATTTGATATAGCGCTTTTCACGTCAGGAGGACGTCCCAAAGCGCTTCACAGAACACACTGTAAAGTGAATTGACTGTTTATTTTCTGAGCAAAACGCGGCAGCCAATTGGGCACAGCAGTGTCCCACAAATAGTCATGGATTGAGTGACCAAATTATTATTATTTTTTAATTTATTTTTTGAAGAGATTATTACACTCAGAAAAGCGATCCGCCAATCAACTAACAACCGGGCTCCTACTTATTGCTAGGTAAACATAGGCGTGTGGAGTAAGGAAACTTGCCTAATGTTTCGCCGGGAATCAAAACCCAGGTCTCTTGCTTGCGTGAACTGCTGGGACTGTAATTTCCTGATATGAGGCATTAATAATACAAGATCAGTTAGTTTCTTCATTCAATTGCTGGAAACGGAATGTAAACACGGAATTTAATTTGCCATGGCTCAGTGTAAAGAAAACAGTAGCTTAGCTGCCGTTTGATTTTTTTTAATACATTAAAATGGAATTGATTCTGAGTGAGTAAACCTTGGATTAGGATCATAACACTGTCACATTACATGGGGGCTTTCTCCAGAACTAATGCATTAATAGGCATTTGAGAATATACTTTGTAAGCACATTCTGTGAAGCAGTATTGAAGGATTTATAAACAGGGTATTTATAAGAGCTTTGGAACTAATCATCAAAATACTCAGCTGGGTTGGGATGGATTATAACTGATGCAGAACAGCTGGATGCTAAAAGAAAGCTTTAGAATCTGTGGCAGCGGTACTTCAGACAAACTTTGGGGCTTAGGTTTCATAGTTCGAAGATAATTTTTCACCGCTGGGTAGGAGTGTCGCTGGAGTCCACAAGATGAAATCTGGAGAGGATTTTGGCAGCAGAAGCTGAACTGCAATTTTTATTTCTTAACCCGCAGCCATTTAATTTTCAAACACACCTCACTTCATTTGGGGGCGTTCACTCATATACTCCTTCTGCCCTTACAAGGCAAACTTGTAATTTCAGTTGTAAAGGCATTGGTATGTCAGTCTCCACTGTACATACAACCTAATCTAATTAAACCACTATTAAAAGCACAATCTAAAACATGTTCTCTAAATAAGAACCATGCTTGCAGTGCGGGAAAGAAACCTCTTTTTAAAGGGAGTTCTCTAGCTCTAAAGTTCACCTTCTGCAGGTCTGTATTTCTAGAACGGAGAAACAACATGATTTATGCATTTGCGAATGTATCTAAAATCAAATACTGGTTTGTAGCAACAGCAGGTGCTAATGATGTCTATATTTCACCTAACATATGGCCAATTTATACCATGTGGTGTGGTACCAGAGGTGTCGTTTTCTGCTGGTGCACTCACAATTGCCAAGTATTAAAACATTTGGGGTGAAAACCTAATGCAGTGCAGCCATGTTATGATGTGTTACAGTATATCTTGAATTCACTTATAACATGGGTTGGGTTTTTAAGGATCCCAATGGGGCTCCATTCTAGTTGGTAACAGAAATTCACAAACAAGTATTCCCACCGGTAACCAGAAGTACAACACTTTAACAGAAGTAGATCATGCTGGAAAAGAACTCCCACGGGGCGTTGTGACCACTATGGTTCCTCGGAAGAATTGCTATCTACAACATTTTACGAAAAATATAATGTTCTAGACTCCATGGGGTTTGTAAATAGTGAATCCTGGATGTATCGCAATCGACTCTTTGGAACTCCGCTCGGATGTTGAGACCCCAGAAATCGGAACTGAGAACCCGGTGTTGGAGGGGAGATCCAGACAGTCAGCCAGCACACATCTGGGATTTGCTATTTAAAAATCCATTCAACACGTCCCCATTGAACAGTTTACTGCAAGAAACCTCATATGTAGCCATCACTGCTACAGAGTTAATTTCTGCAGCTACAATTTCTAATTATTAGTGGAAAAGGCTGGTCTTATCTTGACATAACCCAGCAGTGTGATCCACAAGGGGGGAGCGGTGCTTTATGGGAGTAGATCATGTTTTGAGCCTGTAATTCACTTCTGCCTTTGGCACCTTTGAATCATTAGAGCTCCATTGCCATTCTGCGGTTTATATCCCTGTAAATCACTAATGCTCGTGAATCTTTGAATTTAGAATTTAAATTAAATTGTCTTCTGTGTGAGCTGGGGCAGAGTTCCCGCTCCCCTTTCCACTTGGAATAAAAATACTGCTCTTTTCAAGTGGACACACATGTACGTTTCCGCAGTAGGGGGTCTGAACAGTGATCAGAAGGGGGAACCCTGGCTGAACTTTCCTTCAATAACCATCACACCAGTCCTCGCCAGGCTTCAATGACTCCCAATTACTGAAAAGATCGATTTCAAGATCCTCTCATTCATTTTCAAATCCCTTCATTCCCGCCCACCTCCTTATTTATCCAATTTGCTTACCCCCCACTACCCCACCAGCTGCCTCTGCTTGGCTGGCCCAGCCTCCTGTTTGTCCCTCGTCCCCTCCGCTCCATTATCGTGCCTTCAAGCACTTCGCCCCAAAACTCTGGAACTCTCCCCCTCAATTCCTCTGCCTTGTCTTATTCCTCGCCTCTTTCAAATCTTCCTTTCAAGACCTTCCTTTTTGATCATGCTTACAGTCACCTCTCCACTCCCTCTCCTCCTGGCTCAGGGTCAGACTCCGCCTCTGTGAAGCCCCGCGTGAAGAGCGCTATATAAATGCAAGTTGTTATTGTCGAAGGCCAATTGTAGTATTCCAACTGTTGCTTGGCTAAGATCAGCTAATTGCAATTCTGTAAGCTATTCGAAAGTGCTGCTATTTTTTAGAGCGAGGTGCAGTCTTTGTGATTATGTTTGATATTGATATTGATATTGATCTGTGCAACAGCAGTGGGCTAGCCCAGGTTAGGGAAAAGAAAGCCATCCTGAGTTCCTAATCTTAATTGCTATCTAATGATTATTGCTGGAGATAATAATAATCCTTGCATCTGATATAGCGCTTTATCATGTCATTGAGACGTCTCAAAGCGCTTCACAGAATATACTGCAAAGTGAATATTTTGTGGTCGAAATGTGGCAGCCAATTGAGAACAGCAGTGTCCCACAAACAGTCATGGATTGAATAAACAAATTATTATTAATTTATTTATGTATTTATCTTGAAGGTATTATTACCCCCGAAAAGCAATCTGCCAATTAATAATAATCCTTGCATTTAATATAGTGCTTTTTACGTCAGGAGGACGTCCCAAAGCGCTTCACAGAACACACTGTAAAGTGAATTAACTGTATATTTGTGGGCGAACGCGGCAGCCAATTGCGCACAGCAATGTCCCACAAACAGTCGTAGATTGAAAATGATCAATTTATTATTGTTTTGTTTTTTTGGAGGGATTATTATTAGGCGTGTGGAGTAAGGAAACTTGCCCAATGTTTCGCCCTGACCTGCCTGGAATTGAACTCAGGTCTCTCGTTTGCAAAGCGAGTGCTCTAACCACTGAGCTACAGGACTCCACAAAATTAGCTGACAACTGAGTTCCTTTTGCTTGCAAGGCAAGTGGTCGAAGAAAAACACTACCAGACTTCATGTTCCAGATGGCCTGGGTGAATCTTGATTAGGAAAAGATTGGGCTAACTATTAACGACCATTACAGTTGAACTGGCTTCCACAAATGGCAAGTGATACTCTTGTCTCTTCCACCTACCCCCCCATCCAATTTTCTTTTTTATTTTGTTACCATCGTAACATTTACTGGGGTATCCCAAGTGACTATTCATCTTGGTTTGGAAAAACATTTTTCGGAAAATATAGAACAAAAATATTGAAAAGGAGTTAGATTTTTCCAATGAACTCTATTCCAATTTTTAATAAGAATGTAAACAAAATCCATTTTTGAAGGAGAGATGATTCAATGCATCCATTATTGGAATAAATCTTCTTACTAACTTTTGGAAACATTTATTAACATTGAGCCTAGAATCTTCATCAAACCCCCAGAAAAAAAAGAGACATCTGAAGATCAAATCAAATTCTGAAAGTTGGCAAGTTCTACCACGAGTCAAATGTGTGCTCTGTATACATCCACTTTTAGTTGGAAATGATTCAACAAAGACAATCTTTACAGTTTGCATTTTAAAATCTCTTACTGTCTTCAAGCTGAGCTGTCCCTCATGTCAAAACTATGGTATCTCAAAAGCATCGAACAAAATAAACTTGCTGTAAAATATCATCATTGTTTCCCCTTTGACAATTGTACATATCTGTATGGCTCATCAGTCATCTCCTTTCAAAAACACCCTGGCACTTTGATCTATGGCCAACAATCATTTCCTGTGTGTGGTAAAGTGTTTTCAAAAAAGATCAGATAAAATCACATTTTTTTCCATTAACAAGAACTAAAAGATGATTTGGTTGATTTACCAACAAATACAATTTGGGTGAAAAGTGATATCTGTACTGAGGTAAGAAACCACAGTGACCCTTTTATCCTTTATAAACTGTGCAAAACCAGATTTGCTGGCAAGTAGCAAACCTTTAAGCAGCTTTAATGGGGTGTATATGCAGTGATCAAAAGCACATACCTGAACTATAAAGACAATGTACAACTCCCTCATTGTACTCAAACACCTACCGATGTTGAAAAATTATCTCCATTAGACCATAAAAACAAACCCGCAGCTCTTAAGTAGTCAGATGTGGGAGTTTAAGTTCAATTACAGGCTTCTCTCTGTGTGGTAGGCAGAGGTCCCTTAGCCACAACATTTTCTAAACACATTGAGTACTGCCACGCAACCCATTATTGGTCCTACTTGTTCAAAGGGTTATGAAATTTGCCACATAGTTGAGCTATTGCACTTGAAAGTAGAATGTACTAGGCAAAGTCAACTTTGTACTTGGGGTCACAGTGTTCTGTCTGGAGAGCGGTTAATCAGTCAAATAGATGGACTTCTTACCTGTAAAAGTCCTTGAACTGGAGCTTCAGCTTTCCCTCTTTGCCAAAGAAGTGTATCAGCAACATTGTCTTAAGTTCTGTGTCACCTTCTTGCTACAAACACAAATATATGTATATGTGATCAATCTGTTTGACTATAATATACATATTTCTAAAAGCTCCAAACAACTAGTCAATAACAATGGATATGAGGACATCCACAATGGAAACATAACGTATTGCGATGATGACAAGTTTAGAGTATTAGTGACTGAATGCTTGTAAAATACAGCTAAAGAGTGAAATTTCAGGGATACAGGTGATCATTTTACAAAACTGTTCTGGAATACAGTAACTGAAACACACATGGGGTCTTTGTTCACTGTAGTATGTTACTAGTTTGATTATTGGTGTCTAATTTGAGATAAATTAGATTTGTTGCATTAATTGCAACTTTGTTGAGAAAATCACAGCCAACAAATCGCAAATCCTAACAATAATTTGCACAGGTATCTCATCTTTCATGTCTCAAAAAGAGCGATGCAGGGTGAAGGCAGATTTGGTGTGTTAAGGGTAGGGACGCAGAAAGCAAATTAAAGAGATTTTAGAAGAGAGTTTGAGTGGTCAGAGGCAATGGTGGCTGAAGGCTTGTTTTCTGTTGGTANTTTTTATTTGGTCTTTTTTTCTCGGCTTTGCTGACTTGGGATATGTACTTTTGTATGCTTCACGTTTGCCATAAATTGTGCAAATTAAAAGTTGCTACTAATGCAGCATAATTGGTTTGTGAATATTGCAAATTAGGTCCATTATTTCCAGGGAATTAATTACAAATGATTTTAAAATAAACATATAGTTATCACTTCTTAACCATTAGTCTTTCAGTTTGATAGACATCACATATGTGCTGTGTGATATGCACACTGAATATGAGACCATCTGTTTTTTCTTTACTAATTAGAAACAAAACAGTAACTTTTAGACATAAGAGGTACAGTATATTAAAACATCCTTTCTTGTGCTCAGTGATACTGTCATAAAGTATTAAGTTGAATATAATTTCCTGATATACACAAAGATAGTTAACTGGTAAAAGAAATTCATTTATAGATTTCCCTCGAAAGCTTAGTTTTTAAATGGACTAGTCGTTCAGGCTGATACAGGCTGGAGAGTAATACAGGCCGGAAAGCCTGAGGTGTAATTAGTGGTCTGTGTTGAGTTAGCTCATTTTGATTGGAGTTGCCCCTGGGATAGGGAAGGAAAAATTAGTCTGAATTCCCGCCTCTGATCCCTCTTCAGAGATTCCACACCCTACAGCACTACTGTTTCCATCAACGTTTGATGACAACAAACAAGTATTTGTAGTTTCCTTTGGCAGATTTTTAAAATAATTCTCCACAAATGCTGTTTGATCAATTGCATGCTTTTATGGATTGTGACATTTGTGTTTTCCATAAACCATAAAAAAAATCAATTTTCACTGTAAATACCATGACTGTACTGACAGTATTTTACACCATAAGGATCTAGTCTTAAAACCCACACGCATACACACACAAACAGAAAACCACTGAATCTAAAAATCTCAATGCAGTATTTCTTTCAGAGACCAACATCAATGGCATTTATTGCTGGCCTGCAGCAAAAGAACTTTAAGCAAAGGGTGTTGTGAAATAAAAACGTGAGATGTTAAACATGAATTAAAATCATTTACTTCTCTCATTTTCCAGTCAGCTCAGATTCCAAAGTTACACTTAAAGAATAGATCACACAGGGTTAGATTTGCCAAGAAATTAGGGGGGGAAAGGACGTGTAAATAAATTCTATTACATGTCAATTTTTCTTTGAGTTGGGAGGAGAGAGTTTAGAGCAAGAGCTTCTGCATTTAAATGGAGGAAATCCATTTACAGGAGATGGTTCGGCAGACAGTTAGAATGCACTGAGAAGGGATAGCAAATATCTTGCTAAGCTACGAGTGCAAAACAGCCACTTGGTTTTTCATGGATCAAAGAAAAGCATCCCAAAGCAGGCACCTTATTACTTGTTCATGGCAATAACACCTGTCAAAGACTGTTAAGGGTTTATGTGTGTTTGAAAAACAAGAATAACATGGGATTATCAAGCAAACGTCAGCAAGGCACCCTCAATTCCTTCAAAGTGACAGCTGAGTATACCATAAAAGAACTGAAAGCGTGTTCCTGTGAAGCAGAACTGGTTTAAAATGTCCGTTTAAGAAAGTCACTGAAGAAATCAATTTTCAGATTATACACATTTAAAGCTTAGGCCATGTGCAGAACCTTGGTTACTTGCCACTATGTCAATTAACCCTTTCACCACCACCACGAGGTTTGGAGTCAACTACCTAGTCACGACTGTGTAATTCTACATAATTTCCTCTCCATGTAACAAAACAAATATAGAACGTAGTCGTGAATGTCAAATATAACTTCACACCAGCCAGAGTAAAATGCCTCACAGACAGCCTTTCAGGAAGTACAATATGTCAATAAATGGGATGGAAACAATATACACAGAAGTAGATGAGAAACACAATTTTAACAAGCGTCTTAATGCCGCAGTCTATAGTGTGACAAGTATTCCTTCCTCTAATAAAACCCAATGGTTCAGTTTCCAAACCCAATTATTTGAACGAACTCAAATTCAAAAATTCGATGTTCTCAAGCTCAAATCCCTCCATTGCTTCACCCTATCCTATCTCTGCAACTTTCTGTAATCCTACCATCCCGGCAACTCCTTCTGCTCAGCGAACACTGCCAACTGCTCCACCTTCGGTGGGCAAGTTTTCAAGATTCCATCCCAGATCCTTCTGTCTCACTCTCTCCATCCCCACCTTTAAAGCCCACTTTAAGACCTTTCTTATTGATCGTGCTTTTGGTCACCTTCACCCCCTCCACCCTCACCTCCCCAACCCCCCCCCCCACCTTCAGATTTGTTTAGGTAGGTTTCTTGAAATTGGAATGATTTTTGTCACTGTATTCCATCAGCGTTGGTCTAGGCTAAGAGACAAATTATCTCTCCCTTTAGATTTCTCCTTCCTTGCAAGGAGGTGTCTGGTCTATGCAGTACAGTTGAGATCAGGGACTCAGTAGAGCCAAAGAGATCTGCTCAGCATATTGGGGGCACTGTCATGATGCCTCCCCTAATACTTGCCATGTAAATAATGGGTTTCTCACTGTCCTTAAGGAGAGAAAAATAATAACAACAATACTACAAGCTGTTGTATGAATCCTAATCCCTGCATCTGGTATAATACGTTGAGAGGATGTCTCAAAGCACTTTTACATGATTTATTGTAAAGTGTAGTGACTACAATTTAAAAAAATTAATTCAATTTGTGCACAGCAATGTCCCCACAAACAGTCATCACCTAGTCTTTTTTGTCTTCTAGGAGATTGTTAGCCAGAACACAAATCTCAAAAAATACATACTTTTTACTTTTTGGTTTTATCTATTTTTTAAGTGTTTCCCCCTTTTAAAATGTACTTCATCTGCGATACCAAATACTCCAGCAATGAGAGCCATTATTTTTTTCCTTTACCAATTTATAGACATCCACTGAGCTGTTAAAGGGTGTACATCAATCAAGGCCATACTAAGTACTCACTAGACACTAGGCCTTTGTCTAGTGAGTCCAGTCCTTTTGAGTGGCCTCTGGATGAGTGCATTTTGCATCATTTCTTTTGCAGTCTTTCGGATTGCACTGGCTCCAAGGCGCTTTACACATGCCCCAAACCCACTGGAGGTTATGCAAAGGAATCTTTTTACAAGTTGCCATCTCGGACATGTACTTCGGCCTTAGCTCCAGGGTGGTCTCTCCCTAATTCTTCTATTCTGCATTATTAGACACTTGGATGTTGGCACATTCTTTTTAGTCAGTAACTGGCTAATAGCTGTCTACCTTTCTCAAATTATCCAGCATTTCAATTAATTTGTTTATTTTCCTTTCCTTTAATAGGGAATACACCAAAGCCTGCCTGATCTTTTTTCTTTTTTCAAAATATAAACGACTCCAGCCCTAAATGTTGAAGGTATTTAAAATGAAGTGGGGAATGCTGTCCGTGACATTTCTCTGTATGTGCACCAATGACAATAAAGACAGTAGAAACTTTACAAGATGTTTTACTGAACAAGAAGTATTTTAAAAGCATTTGCTATCTTAGTGTTACTAATTACTGTGTAGGAACAAGCACGAATAGTCTGCCAAATGTATGTTGCGTAGGAAAACAATAATAATTTGGACAAACCACTATTCTAAGTAATTCTTGATCTATTCTAAGTAATTAAGATTACTTAATCTATATCATTCTTGATTATCTGCTATTTTAAAAAGTCATCTTAAGATAAAAAAAGGAAGGTGCACTGTGTAATGATAAGGGCAAAAGAACCATAGTGTCTTTAATTAGGGTTTCTAATTTTGTTGTATGCCACAAATAACTAATTTGTTTATTTTTCCATGTCTGACTTTTATATAGAATGAGTATCATGTTCTACAGCGAGATACATCACATGCTAAATAATTATTTGACCATTTATAGAATTGGTACCGTGTTCTATAATGAGGACCATCACAAGCCTAGCCATTATTTGACCATTTGGGTGTGCTGTTGTTGTCCAAATTCAGCTGCAGGAAGTTTACACTCATCCAGGCCCTGATGTCTGCCAGACAAGCTGATAGAACATCGACAGATCTAGAGTTAGAACAGGAGGAGGCAAAGTAGATTTGTGTGTCATCCGCATACATCTCATTCGCATTACCCCCCTTCAGTAGGACTCATCTGAGTTGTTCGGATCTGGAATGCATTGCCTGAAAGGGTGGTGGAAGCCGATTCGACAACAACTTTTAAGAGAGAAGTAGATAATTATTTGGGGAGGACCAAGTTTGCAGGGCAATGGGGAGAGCGCAGGGGAGCGGGATTGATTTGGGTAGCTCTTTTCAAAGAGCTGGCACAGACATGATGGGCCGAATGGCCTCCTTCTGTGCTGTCATATTCTATGATTCAATCGCAGGTCATGTCCTCTGGTTCCACTGTTCAATAAAAGAAACTGCTTATCATCATCTACAATAACTACTCCCTTCAGAATTTTAAATGCCGTAA